TGCCCCCATACAGTGCGCAGGCAGTGGGCACTCACTGCATATTTCAGGATATTTCATACCACTGTGCAGGGAGCAAAATATCTGTAGTTCAAAGTGTTTCCAGTTTTTCCCTGCAGCTGAACTTTTGTTATTCTCAGCGTAATGTTCCTCGTCCTGCAGTGTGCGGGCCCCTCCCTGTCATCCGTGCTCGTCTAGCGCTCACACTCCTCCTCTAAATGATTCAGATTTCAAGGTGCTTAGCTCTGCTATTTTTGTTTTCCATCTTCATCTGTTCTTTTTTGTTTCTTCTATTTTTTAAGCCCTTCCCATTACAGCTCATCTCATACTTGACAACTTCCAGCCCGAATGCCTGTATGTTCTCAGATATGCTCTGGCAAACTTTCGTTTTTTTTTGTTTTTCTGTAACAAACTGGGATGCAAAAAGGAGGCAGCGTTGCTCTGAGGGACCTTCCGGCGACTGGCGGTGGGGGGAAGTGATGGAAGAGCAGCCAATTAGCCGCTGGGAGGACTGGCAGGCCTGGGGACAGGCAGCACATCCGGTGTGACATCGCTGTGTCCTCCACCCACTCTCAGTGAATGTCAGCGGCAGGTGAGGCACACAGGCACCATGGAGATCAGAGGCCCGGAGAAACAGCAGAGCGCTGGCGAGCTAGCGTGGCCGTTTGGATCGGAATGACACACACTACCCAAAAATACATACATAGCAAAAACTTACTCTAGCGTGATGGTTGTGAACTTAGTCCTGTTTCTCTAAAGCTGCCATTTCAAGTCATGGATTAGATAATCAGTCATAAGAATATAAGCATAAAAAAAGGCATAAACAGATGCACGGTGTGATTAATCAGACACTGAAGACTGTGTAGGTCCTGCAGGCACATGCCTTTCTCCTTGGCAAATATGCTTTGATCTGAACCACATACAGTCCACTCCACTGATGCTGGCCAGTTACTGGCTGTATTTTTGACACCGGCAAGCCCAAACTGCTTGGAGGAAATCGAGTTCCAAGCACATCGTGTTCCCAAGGAGAAAAAGGCTGATTTAAGGTGAATGTTAAACCGCATTTGGGGCACAGTGTGGTCTGCTTAGTCTGTATACCCACTAAAGCTGCCATCTTGCCATTTAATGGATAATTACATAATGGCATAATGACATAATTATTATCATAGTGGTTAACAGTGGAGACAGCCAGGCAAATTAAATGACCCAAAACAAACAAGGTATTAGACTGGCAATCACAGAAATTGTTGTTAAAAAAAATGGACAATAGACCAGTACTCCTTAAGTACTAATTTGACACCGTATGTTAGCATGGTTACTGAGGGCTGTCGACTGAAGCAAAATGTCACCATAATCAGGAGCTGCATGAGAACTGGATGCTGGCCTGCCTGTTTGAAGAGCGTTTCTACCTGTCCGCAGTGAATCCTGACTTGCACTGCAGTACAGTGACCTGCGTGTGCCCAAGTTCTGCTAACTATAAGTGGCTACTGACAAAGATATAGTATTCATGCAGAGTTATTGTAATAGCGGTCCATCTGGAACACAGCATTCAGATTACATCAGCCTTTCTGCGCCCGTTATCATATCATGCAAGGCCATTGTATGCAAATATTCCACCTGGTTGCACTACCTACACGTACTTAGCTGTGAATTTTGGGAGGAGGTGCTATTATTAAAACCAGCCCAGTATACTGGCCAGGATTCTTAGCCAAATGTGCAATAATAAAGTATAAAGCCCAATCATTGTTCTCTGTTTCGAAAAATATACTTCCAGGGGGAGCTCCAGTCATCATCCTGGTATTAAATGTTTTATGTCTGTAATCTATAGCCCTTAATGTTCTATGCTCGTACAGCTGTCTTTATGTAAATTAAATACCCAGTAGCTTTTAATGGAGGAAATCCCTAGAAATAGGCTGGTTAGGCCACTTTTCTTTAAGATAACTGCAATCATCATAGCTCTGTTTGCCTTTAAGAGTGTTTATTGCTCCTTCTTACCTGATACTAATCTATTCCTGTTGCTCTGCTTTTGTTTTCACCACTTTACAATTAATGCCTTATTTCTGATCGTACCTACACACACAGACAAACAGACACAGACACACACACATCTATGGGGAAAACCCTAATCCCAGCACGATGACCCTAACCCCTACCCAGCCCTAACCTAGACCATAAGTAACCAAATAAAATACTAGTCTTTTAGCATTTTTAGTTTTTTGATTGCAGTCACCGATTTTCATAAAATTATTCTTAATGGGACCGGAAAAATGGTCCCCACAACATCAAAATAACAGGTTTTTATCACAGGAATGGGGGTTAGGCACAGGAAAAAAGGGTTACCAGCACAGGAAAGGGGGTTAGCCACGAGAAGAAGGGCTACCAGCATAGGAATGGGGGTTAGCCACAGGAGGAAGGGCTACCATCATAGGAATGGGGGTTAGCCACAGGAGGAAGGGCTACCAGCATAGGAATGGGGGTTAACCACAAAAGTAGCAAAGGTTTAGCTAGATCTAAAGTACTATACTAAGTCATAGGCTGTCAAAGAAAATGTTGAAAGCTGTTTATCTGGATAGTAAGTGTATATTTGCTCAGAGAAAAAATAATATAACATTATAACACTGGAATAGAGCAAATAAACAGTAACACAATAAAATATATGGAGTATAAGAGCACTGCTTCGGTGCTCCAACCTCTCCACTGGGGCACCTCAGCCATGTATTTGTTAAATTTCACCACCAGCTCACTTAGGCTTAATTAATTAATACGGTATATAACTCAATGAGGTATGGATTAGCTAAACAAGATTTGTTAGTGCTCAAGTCACAAAATACATGGGTGTATTGGATGGTTGTTGCAAGTATTGGGATGATTTTAGGGCAGGTTTTGAAATGCCTAAGCTAACACTCTTTGACAGATATAATAGTTCTTCACCGACATTAAGATCATTTAAACATCATTTTCTTTGTCTGCCTATGACTTTTGCATGGTGCTGTATGTGACCTAGCCAAGGTATGGCAAGTTTATTTAAACAGCACATTTTCAAACACAGAGATCATCCAAAGTGTTCTACACAAAATAAGTTCAAGTAATAGGAATCATACATAGCCAGTGTGTGGGAGCCACTGAAAGGGTTGTGCCTCTAGTCAAAGAAGACGAAGGATCTCCACCCTGACATCTCACCCACAGGCTCACCCACAGGCTGCACGTCAGTCATTCCTCATCTTTCTGCATTTTTTTAGGCAAGTGCCTCTGAACTGACAACCGATGCTGAGGAACAGACTAAAGTAATTCACATGGGATTTATGTTGTTATCTTTCACAGGTTGTGCCGCTTATTCACAGGAACTTAACATTATTATGATTCTAACCTTGAATGAACTCAGCATGAACAAAGCAAAATCTAACCATTTAAAAAAATCTAAATCAGGAGATTTGGCAGATAAAAGCAGACCAGAACTAAAGACCAACACACTGCTGGAAGGAGCAGCATGCAATGTAGACAAAGCAAGAGTCACACAACAGGACATATACAACTGTTTGCATTATGCAATTCCACACAGACATACAGCAATGTGCACATAAGAAATGGTCAGTATGGCCTGACAAATCCAATAGCTTGCTCCATGCTGTTTAGCCGAGAAAATACCACAGAGCTGTTCTGNAGCAATGTGCACATAAGAAATGGTCAGTATGGCCTGACAAATCCAATAGCTTGCTCCATGCTGTTTAGCCGAGAAAATACCACAGAGCTGTTCTGATGCTCTCATCTGATCCATAGTAGTAATCCATAGACACACGATTCACCCTGCTCTTCCATTACCATGAAGAACCTGGACTGAGTCATTAATGATAAGGTGGTATTTCAGCAGATATAACAGTGTGTTGCACGACAAGACTTCTTAAAATGACTGGATGCCATAGCATGACTCCCATGGTGTCAATATACCTTCAAATTAAAAAGCAGTACAGAACACGGCGCACAAATATGAGCTACTTATAAAGTACATCACTTTGGGCAAAAGCGGCTGCTATATAATTAAATGTAAGCTTAAAAGCAGACTAAACAGCCCATTCCTTGGACTTACATCAATGAGAAAGCACTGAAATTTATGTTAAATAGAAATAAATGACTGAATTTGTGCATCCCTGTATTATTTTGCTTTTGTAATACTTACTGAAAATTGGTGTATTCAAGAGGAACATTTGTACTGGAGAGCAAAGTATTGGTACCATGCAAAATGCTCTCCTGTAAGACTCATGTGGAGTGTATAATGACAGCCAGCTACATAATTAAATCTGACTTCAAAACAGATGATGACAACAGAAACACGACTCTTAATGGTATTGGTGCAGCTTGGAGATGGACAAAGAAGATCTGTCCAACAAGAATGCATCCCCCAGCGAGCTCAGCTCCAAAGAAGCAGCTATGTGAAGCATGCAGCGTTAAGGGAAGAACCCTGAAAATGACAGGAAGGTGCTGAGAACTACCTCAGGAATAAGGGAATCTGGGGGTGCAGCTCCTGATGAATCACTTGTGGCAGCAAATTTCTCCTTAATTATTCTAGAGATCTGTACACCATCTCATGCTAATCTCCTTCCTTACTACCTAAATAGAATACTAGCAATGTGCACATAAGAAATGGTCAGTATGGCCTGACAAATCCAATAGCTTGCTCCATGCTGTTTAGCCGAGAAAATACCACAGAGCTGTTCTGNAGCAATGTGCACATAAGAAATGGTCAGTATGGCCTGACAAATCCAATAGCTTGCTCCATGCTGTTTAGCCGAGAAAATACCACAGAGCTGTTCTGATGCTCTCATCTGATCCATAGTAGTAATCCATAGACACACGATTCACCCTGCTCTTCCATTACCATGAAGAACCTGTCTAGCATAGACACAAAGGCCAAGACAGAAAAATCCCTGGGTTACTGTCTAGCTGAGAGTGCAGATTCACTCGTCCAGTGTGATCATTCCCAAGGTGTTTTAGATGGACAGTCTCACCAGGCAGGAGGTCTGGGTCTTCCTGAGGCCAGCTGTAGGTCCGGACTAACTGCCAGTCGAAGTCGTCATCATTCCCCTGCTGGCATTCATCTAGGCTGTTGTTCGAGTCTTCATCAAACTTGCAGCCGGCTATGGGTACAAACACACAAAACCCATCAAATTCCCATTATATGATAGGGTTGCGTATCAGAAAGAATCTTGCATATCATGATGCAAGGGTTAGAATTAAATATATCGCGATACTATAGCAAGGAGATATATTGCTAATTTTAAAATCTCATTTTGGGAAAACTGTCATAGTACAAAGAACACACCACCATATGCATACAATCTGAGTTTAAAAAAGTTCTAATGGTTCTAATGGTCAGAGTGGGATCTGAATTTGTATTTATCACAAGTCCCTGTGACATCATAGCACTACTTTCGTGCACTTTGAGCAAAGTATTATACATTTGCCAATATCAGAAGAAAAAAAAATAAATAAAGTGCTTGCAGGATACATGGTACAATTTTGCAAATAGCATGTCTGTTGTCGGTCTCTTTGGTGCCTTTTTATTGTGGAACCCAAAATGAGCCCCCACATTCAGCCATCTGTGGTAACGGGGTATATACAGAAATCCAGAGGTTAAATTTAACACTTTTTAATACCTTTTTAAATACTTTCTCAATATTTTTTAAAACCCGCACGGCATTGAGTTGCAACCGTTTTTAAACAAGTTTCAAACTGATTTAAAGATTTATAATGTTACACAATTTTGGCCTGTACTACAGAATTTAAATAGGGAACATGGGTCAACAGAATAAATTTAGTGACTGTGATTTTGAAAACATCTTGCATTTAACTTCTTCAGTCACAAGTCCATATCTTTATCCACTAGGCTATTCATGGCAAGTGCCTTAATTATTTGGCTTTTTCTTCAATGAGTTTGTCGATTTGCAGCAGTTGACTAACTGCTCTCATCCATGCATTCCTGATTTATGAGTTGTGCATCGCATATGCGACCAGAGAGCGCTAACCCCCATCCAGGCGATATTTATGGGTTTTTTTTGCAAACCGATCAGTAACCCTCTCGATATTTTCCTGCTACCGGCCTTAGCCAGTCCTTAAACGCCGGGTCCTCTAACCACTTGCGTGCAAATTTGCACTTACCCATGATGACTATGAAAAAAATCAAAATCTAAAATTTAATACCTCGTAAATTTGCGTGTAATACCTTTTAATACTTTTTAATGGCTTTAATTTTTGCTTATGTGATTTACTACCTTTTAATACTTTTTAAAACCCAGCGGACACCCTGGGTAACCTTACTAGTCAGCTTGGTTTGCTAATACTAACACTATTTCCTATCTCAGAGAAGATAAGATGAGATAAGATAAGGTGTTTAGCTTAAGAGCACAGGCTGGTCCTTTTAACAGCTGCAGTGTTTTCAGCAGAAACGGTCCAGTCTGGTGTCACTGCCAGCATGGGCCTCACTGAATGCATGAATCAGAGTCCATGAAGCTAATGGCACTGGCTACTTTAAGCGGACAAGCGGCTGCATCAGCAGAAAAATTTAGGCAGCACCTAGTTAACACTTCCAGGTGAGGTGCTCAAGTTACACTCTGCCTCGCGCTTTCTGTGAAGGGTTCACTCGCCGATTTTAGTGCTACAGCAAAGCGAATAGTTCCTCAGTGGAACAGAACACTTTATTCATTCTTTGTGAATTATACTGCTAATTATAAAAAAATCACTGGGAAGTCTCAGCTCCAGTTGTCTTTATCTGCGTTTTTTGATGTATTTTTGACGTGTCATACACTAGCATGAAAAGTGTTTTATTATTATGTTCACAGTTAGTATTGTATGAGTGGCCATGCTTTCATTTCTCGGAGAGGGAATACATATGGTTTTGTGACTGGCCTGCCACCGCAGGCACTCTCTCATTAGCAGTAACTCAAGAAGTATTTCACTTATCATTTTCAAACTTTGGAGACACAGTGGCCACAAAGGGAGGGGGAAGGGTGACTGCAGAAAATATTTGTAAATGTAATCATTCAAAAAATATTTGATGGAGTGCCAGTTCACAGAAACACTATATGGATGAAGATCTACCCTGATTTCATTTTGAGACAAACTGCCCAAAAACTGAAATAGCAGCACTAGGTGGCAGCAAAGGAAGGAAAGAGCATGAATTCTTGTATTTCATGGATCTTTTTCAAACTTCCAATGAATATTTAATAAAGATTTTTTGGTGAGGTGGAGCGAATGTGTAGAGGGACCTGGGGGAGCTGAGTAGAGTAAAAATTAGGTGGGGGGGTGACAGGGAATAGGCTCCAGGTGCCAGTTGTTCCAACAGCATCCAGTTATTTATCGATAATTAGCAAAAAACTGCAACCCTGAACTCTGACCCTTCACCTCTGACTCCTTTATCGTGGAAATCAATAATACAAACATCAAATGTACGTGTATGTATTACTCTTGCATACTTTCCATATACAAAGTTTAGCTTTATACACAAATAGCAGCCTTTAAGACTGTTTCACACCAAACACGACACACAAAAAACTACACAAATCTGTGAAACATCCACACGCGAATATGACAGATCAACACCAAACACAATGCGTAATTTCCGCAGAAGACTAAGGAAAAAAGCCGCATACTGAAAGAAAATGTCAACTAGCGAGAAGCACTAGTAGCAGTGATGACAAATTTTTCTTGTTTCTTTTGAGCAAACAAGTAGAAAAAACGCAAATATACTGGATACATCCAATTCTAAAAATGCTTATACTTTACAACAATCGTTCATTCAAAAAGAGCTTTAGATGTATCCGTCTATTATCAGTTAAATAACTAGAGGGGGTATTCCAGAAAGCGGGTTTAGAGGTATTTCTAGATAAGCAAAATTAATACAGTATTAAGAACGTGACAGCAACATCTATTATCAGCTTATTAACTACGGGAATGGGGAATAAAGGTTATTAATTATTTTTAACTGTATTTTTTTTACTGGATATTGATTGTATACAAATAAGTCTATAAATCAAGCAAAATAAAAACATTAATAGCCACAGTCTAATATAATCCAAGAGGCATATTACAAAAATAATAAAAAGCAACACAAACACAAGCTACCAGAACAGCTGCAAAAAGCTTACCATACTCCTTATAGATAAGACAGGCTACAGATTGTACTGATCTTAACGTTTTCATTTCGACATTCAATTCTAACGTTGTAATATTACATTTTATAATCTGGTAAGTTAAACATTTTATTATAAGGAGCAGAATATGAATTACTATTGGGCAAGGCCACCCACAAGTGGGGAGAAAGGGGATGTTGTACAATCGATCTACCTGTAACTCACCCACCCTTGATTCATTTATTCTTATCTGTCATCAGGGTTGGACCTGCACTGAATGTCGGTATCTGCAATACCAACCTGGGATCGAATTAAAGCCAATTCAAAAACAAAATCAGTGCTATCGCCTGTCACTACATCATGCTTGAGTTGCAAACCAAATTAATTATCTTCTTGTTCAAAAAAAAGATAACAAAACTGGACAATGTGTAAAAACTGACATGCTATTAGATAGTTTTTTTTAACAGTTATCTGTGAGTAGTAAGCAGAGAGGGCAACACTGTTTCTTCAGATCACCAGGGTTGGGGGCTAAAGTCACACCTCTGCTCTTGAGTGGGCTCCCCTGTCTCCCCTGTCTTACTCCTGCAATCCAAGACATGAATTAGCCTAACCGATGACGGACTAGCAGCCCTGTTTCACGTTCTGGCAGGAACTGGCTCGGTGCTGGGCTCGCCCCCGGCAGGCTGGCTGGCCACACAGAGCATACCCATAAGCACCTCCAGAGAGAGTGAATGACCGAAGCTGGACCCCGGCATTCACTCGGCACGCAGGCGCAGGATGGCGGTAGCACAGTCACCCAGACCACAAAACAAGTGAAGCGACGCATGAGCGTGGAGGGATTTCTCCCATCTCAGGGCAGACTAAAGCACCTGTGTGTCACATGTGTTGCATGTTAAGCGGACCAGACCAGAAAGCCTAAGACTGCATGTTTTACAGGGAAGAGTGAAAGTGCCGCAACTCAGAAGACAGGTGAGAAGGTGGCAGTCTCTGCCGAAGGCGCCCAGCGACACACCGGACATGCCAATGACCGCGCAGGGTTACCTCCAGCCTTCTGGGCTTCCTGTCAGATGCATCCACATCTATAATTGTTGTGATTCCATGGATCACTGGAAATCATGTATATTTTCACAAACAAAATCTCCTGCACTGGCTTTGATCCAGACAGACAGAAAGTCAAAAGGAATAAATTCAAGTTAATGTGTGAGTCCTACTGGAGAGAAAAGTATGCATTTTGCCGGAAGCAGAGTATAGACATACACAGTGCTAGTATTAGTATCACTCTGTGGTAAAGCATCTACATGCACAGTGCTAGTATGAGTATCCCTCTGTTGTAAAGCATCTATGTGCACAGTGCTAGACTGAGTATCACTCTGTAGTAAAGCATCTATATACACAGTGCTAGTATGAGTATCACTCTGTGGTAAAGCATCTACATGCACAGTGCTAGTAGGAGTATCACTCTGTGGTAAAGCATCTATATACACAGCGTTAGTAGGAGAATCACTCTGTGGTAGAGTGACTGCACTAGCAACAGGAGGAGCTGACTGCAGCAGCAGCAGTAGAAGCTCCACTGCACGAGCAGCAGGAGAAGCTGATTACATTAGCAGCAGAAGGAGCTTACTGCACCAGCAGCAGGAGGAGGAGCTGACCGCACCAGCAGCAGGAGGAGCTGACTGCAGGAGCAGCAGGTGGAGCTCACTGCACCAGCAACAGGAGAAGCTGATTGTATTACCAGCAAGAAAGACCTGATTACATCAGCAGCAGGAACTGACTGCACCAGCAGCAGGAAGAGCGGACTACCTCAGCAATAGGAGGAACTGATTACATTAACAGCAGGAGGAACTGTGCACCATCAGCAGGAGGAGTTGACTACACCTGCAGCAGCAGGAGGAGCCGACTACCTCAGCAATAGGAGTAACTGATTACATTAACAGCAGGAGGAGTTGACTACACCCACAGAGAGCGTTTTAACAGCATAGGCTGCAGCTTTGTGCCGCTTTCTCCTCATG